CCCTCCCTCCCTCTCGCTCGTCTCGTTAACTTAATTTTTCTCTCAGCCCCGCGCCGCGCCGCAGCCTCGTTAATTGACGCACGCGTCGCTCCATATTTACCTTCGCGCGAACGACCGGCATGTCATCGCGAGCGCGCCGCGGCCGAGGGAGAGATATCGAAGAAAGTAATACAGAGGCCGCGAGACTTTCGAGAATAATACCGGTGACAACCTTATTGCCACATCGGATAAAAAGAGTGCGACATTCGAAAGCCCTCGCGCGACGAATAGGAATGCCCAACCTCACTGCGCTCTGCAACTACTGGAAGTGCCGTGCCCGAACTGTTCTGCAGCTTGGGCCCCTGCCAAGTGCAGCATAGGCAACCACCTTAACTACTGTGCACTCCGTTGCCTATGAGCAAGGCGTTTCTCTTGCCTGAAACGCAGTCATACTTAACGTTTCTCTGGAGGTAGTCCTTCATTTTCTCTCTCAAAAGTCTACGTTCTGCCAATCCCATACCAACGTTTTCCTTTGAGGTTTCCGGCCGACTGTCAGAAACGCAAACATTATACCTACATGCAAAACCCAAATGTGACAAAAGTTTTGAAATCCATCGCTTTTTGTCGACAACTAGCCGAGTCCAATGTGGACTCATTGCTTTGCTGAAAGAGCCACTATCCGCGGTGTATACTCAACACTGAAAAACTTTCGTACCGGGTACAGGAAAATTTTCCACGCGGACGATGTCGTACAATTACAATACAAAATTGTAAAATTTTTAAGCCACGCATATAGACTTGAAATTGAAAAGCAAGTGTGGGAGGTTCTACATGTACGACTCGTTTTGTAAATGGCAAATTACAAAATATATCGTACATGTACAAACAGATTTTTCACAGTGAAAGTGTTAAAAGTAAATCCAAACCAAAAAACTTACTACAACAAAAAAGCAACAATATCAAATGTCATTGAAACATTTCTTCGTCTCTCCTTCTCCCTTCTCTCCTCCTCGCGACGTGGGAGTCAATGTCCGCTCGCTCCTGGACCTGCGTCGATGACTTCCTGCGTGTAGCCGCGCCGGCCGGGCCGGAGTGCAGTCCAACCCGTCCACCCGGTCTATTGGGAAAGAGGGGGAGGGGTTCGAGGAAGGAGGTTTCGTTAAGACGCATGGGACGGCAGCTCAAACGAAAGGGAAAGGGGCGGGCCTGATCAGAGCACCTCCTCTCTCCCTCTATGCGCGCTCGTGGGTGTGGGGTTGCCAAGCAGGAGCTGCTTTGGCTCTAAGTATGGGGTTTATAGTGCACTTATTTGAAAAGTAAGAGCAGTTTCGGCAGGATGCTTTTCCGATGACGTGCACGAAAAAACAGGTTTGCTATCAGAATATATTTGCTTGCATCTGTATAGATAACCGATTAAGTTGTTGATACAACTATATGTAAGGCATCACTTTCTGATTCAGTTGGTGTTGCAGTGCACCCCCACCCCCGCAATATACCCAATAGGCGGAGGGAGTTGTTACTGGAGGGCCAACGCCATGTTGAAATCTAATTGGGCGGAGAACAAGAAACTTGTCTGAGGCGCAGATTCACACACGCCCCCCTTTACCCGCCACTCGACAGAACTCCAACTTTTCCGCGTTCCATATAATTGTACGCGTGCCCTTCTGACCACTCCCTTCGCCATCCATCCGCATTCTAATGTTGCCCGTCGGTGAGACAGTAGCGCTCGGTTCCACTTCTGAGCGGAACACTATGCAGTGTTGCGCTCGCTACAGTTAGCAAATTGACGTTATTCTTCATTAAATTGTATAAAAGAAAAGTGTCAATGGCTCAATAATTTTGACTGGCCTGCAGCTTTGTTGAATACGTTTGAGACGGGATTTCGGCGGACGCGGCGCCCCATTTCCCCGCCGCCGATGCGGTACTGCTTTCACTGCCTTTTCGCAACCAACGAAAAAACGATATCTGTTCGCGGACGTCGGACCGCCCCGGCGCGGCGCGGTCCATCTGTCCGTCCGTCCGTCGGCCGCGCGAGTCTCGCCGAGCCTCGCCCACATCCGATCCCATTTTTCCAACTCTCGTGTTATTTTTCCCAGGACGCAAAACGCAACCGGAGTCAGCCCAGCCCCAGCGCAAAGGTGACCGGCGAGGGAGGATATTGAGACTGAGGCCGGAGGGAAACCGTTTGGCGTGGTCCAACAAGCTGTCGCGGAATGGTATGTCTCCAGGCTCCAGCATTACCGCCCCCGGTACTATCACCGCAAAAAGAATTGAACCCCTCTGATTTCCAAGCAGACAGTGTTCAATTCTTTCTTCGGTGACAGTACACCATCCGATATTGGCCCATGACGGCAGCCGAGGCTGCAGCACGTGACTAAAAGTGGCCTTAAGAGGAGTATAAAACTCGTCCTAAAAAAATACTTCGCGATCATCCAGAAAGTACGTCCGCCCGCGCCGTTGAGGGCGGACCTGCCAAGTTCAGCCTTTGCTTTGCTAGCTCTCGGAGCGCCTGCTGGGTAGGCAACATCTCGCCTGCAGTGCACGCATGCACAGCGGGGCGGCCTACCCAGATCTTCGCAGGCGCTAAGCTAGTGTAATTTGCCAACTGAGTCAGCGAAAAACGAACGCGCTTTGGACGATCTGGAGAACGTAAACATTTCTTTTCTTCGAACCATTTTTCTTGATTATAGAAAGGTGTTCTTGTAAATGCGTTCTTGAAAATAATTTAAGAGTTGTTTTTTTTCCATTGATTCATGAACATATTATCTTTTCCTGGGTGTGAAGGAGACCCGCAGTCGCCTTCGCGAGGTCTAAATCACTCGGCGCGCGCGCGCGCGCGTGTGTGTAAGCTCGATCTTCTTACTGTACCTCCCTCGCGGTACTTTTCATTTCATCATTTTTTTTTCGCGCCTTTTCCATCCGGTCCGGTTTCTGTCAGGTGCGTCCCCGCGCTGATCGCCCGGCCCTGCCCTGCCCTGCCCGCCTTGTGCTTCTCATTACGGGTCGTGGCGTAACGGATCACGTTATATAAGCGGGGCGGCGGTGGTTGGACCCGGGTGGACCCGGGGGCCCAACACATTGGCGCGGTCCTGTCCTGGGGGGCCCGAGCACGATCCGCACCAGAGGGGGATCGGCCGAGATCGCCGCGGGGCAGCCAGCCGTCGACGTTTTATGCGTCGTTCACTTTCTAACTGCTCACTGTTACAATTCGCCTCAAAACTCGATTCGATCGCTGGTGCCGGGATAGGGGAGGGGGTGGGG